TTGAAAGAACAAACTGATTTGGTTTGGTTTTTTTTCCCCAGTATAACCTACCTCTTGGATTGATAGACTTGTGCTGTTTCATGCAGTTTAATTTGAATTCTCGTAAGCCTTGTCAAGGAGAAAACTAAATTTGCCCTGACTACCAAACTGCAATGACTGGTTCTCCCTTTTTTTTTTCTTTTTCTTTTTTTTTTTTATTTTCTTCCTCCCCTGAAGAATTTTGGATGCAGAAAGCACATCATTCATGGACCCGAATCCCTGAAAAGATCTCATGTCTCATGAAGTAGATGGCTTTGTGCTTGTTGAGCTTGGTTGTCGGGGTCTTGGTTAGATGGTAGAGCTGTTCTGTGCCTTTTTTTAGTCAATTCCATGTTACGGATAATGAGAAGAAATTAGAGTGGATTGTGTCAGTCTGTTCAGAGTAGTTACTTCAGAGTGAGATTCCTCTTCCTTTTTAGTCATTCTGTGTCTCAGTTTCTGAAACTGAAACTTGGGAATAATTTCTGAAGTTGATACAACTGAACCAAAACCAATATGGGGCACATAATGATGACGGACAGATGTTTTACAGAGCATTTTTGGAGATGCGTTAGAAGGTAACTTAAAATGACCATCTCATGTTATGTCCTCTTAGAAATAGCCTTTCGGTAGCAAAACACTTCACTGCACTTAAAATGTTTGAAAAAGCTAGTATTATGTTTTGTTTTAAGCTATTTAAAGAGGTTAAGCTGTTGAATTTGAAATTGTAGAAGGAGGACTGCAATGACTTCATATTTTTTCCGTTAAATTATGTATTAGGGTGTTTTATTTTTTAAGTTGCTATTTAAAATCCTATTTTGGGGGTTTTTTTTGTATGAACAGTACATGGCAAACAGTATTCTCTTTGTTGTTCCGCACCACCCTGAACTGTTAATGCAGTCATTCAGCCAGTTTGCAGACTGGGCCAGAAACAAGTGTCAGTCACTGGCAACTGGGAAATGTCTTTTGAGCCAGCAGATCTGTCCTGTGGAGTGAGACTTCTAGGGACCCCAAATCCCTTGTTAATCCTTTTCTTGAGAGATTTTGGCACCAGTTACAAGAGAAAAGCCTTCTTGAGAATGAAGATTGAAATAATTTTATTTTTTTTTGAGTGGCCTCTCAATCCCCATTATTCAGTCTTTTTCGTCGCAATGTCACAGAGACAGATTCTGCAAATAAACATGCAGGGGTTTGTCCGTCTACCTACATAATTGGAGCAGGAAAGACCAATCAGGTATTTATTCAGGAATGAGCACAGTATCATTATATACTCACTTAAAAAAAACCAACAAAACAAACAAACAGAAAGGCAAAAAACCCCTTGACCAGACTCTTCAGAGAACATTCCTCCTTGTAGGACTCAAGGAATCATTGTCCAAAGCACGCAAGAGCAGAGGTTTCCCATTTTCATCCTTGTAGAAGGCGTAACTAAAAAGGGGACTTTCGACTTAAACACATGTTGGGGAGCCCTCAGCAGCCACTGCTGTGATGACCATGACCCAAGTGTTGGGCTGTCATTCTTAGTAGTCGCTGTGGGTCACCATTCCTCAATATTGAGCTTTCCATCTCTGGTTCCCAATTTCCCATGCTGCGTTCCCACGTACTTCGGTATTTAAGAGACATTCACAGAGGCACTTCTGAGCCATTGGGTTTGTAGACTGTTTACATTTGTTGTCATCTCTATGAGGAACACCGTAGAAATACCTGATACTCCTTTGTAGCGCGATACCTTGTCTCTGCACCTCCTTCAAGCCAAACTACATGACTGAGTTTGGGGCTCTTGAAAAGAATCTTAAACAGACAAGGATATCCATCAAAGTGAGTCCTTCCAAGAGTCCTTAGTAGTTTTGGAGAAGATTATTTGGAAATTAGTATTCTTTTCCTAGGTAAAATCTGAAATTCTTTAGGAACAGATAAGATCTAAGCTTTGGGACTCGTTTCACTAGTGTCCCTGAAGGTGAACCAGAAGGTTCTGCAGCATGTCAGCAACTGAGCTGAAGAGAAACCACATCTCGTGAAACTGTTGTGGAATTCAGTACTGATAGTTCATGGTGTCATGACTTGGCTTTCTTGGGTAGTTTAATTTATAGATGAACTTTCAAGAAAAAAAAAATTGAGGTATTACTGCAAGAATGTTGTCTAGCCTTTTGGCAGGAGAGTGTCACAGTTAGAAACATAGAATCATAAAATTGTCTGGGTTGGAAGGGACCTTTAAGATCATCTAGTCCAACCATTGACCTAAAGAGGACATTAGTAACGAGATGACAATATTAATACTCCTATTTTTAGGTAGGGATGAATTTTATTTTTATTTCATGTTTTTCACTCAACTTGAAGAGGAATCTGTGTCATCTGAGAAGTTCTTAGGATAATTTTAGTCTTTTTTTAAGCTGAATATATCCACGCAAGGATGGGAGTGGAAAACTTTTGGCCAAATTTGAGCTGCATCTGCCAACTGCTGAGAGAAAGATGGGAGGAAAAGATGCTGACGGATGAGCTCTGGTGGATTTAGCAGAAGCAGTTTTTATAGTGCTAGCTGTCAATCTCCTCCTTTTGCTGCAGGTGATTTTCCTCGTTGCACGCACGGCAGAAAGCTTTATTTAAGCTAAAACGGACCCGGAGCGTGGTTTTGAGGTTGTGTGCGGGTAAGCTGCCTCTGTGCCGGGTGGGGAGGCAATCTCTTCATTTCAGAGCTGGAGCAGATGGTTTTATTTGAGCCCCGTGTCCTTTTCAAAAGAGCTGTCATGTGTTAGTCTCTTACTAAATTGCATTTTGCTGGCAGAGAAATGGAAACCTTTTTTCCGTCAGTCTAGGTGGTGTAACTAGAATTCTTTTGGCGCTCGGCGCAGCCTGCAGAACCATGATTTCATGCAGTTTATTTTAGTTAGTTCCTGCTGGGAGCTAGGATCATGCCGAATTTCACCAGCTGTAGTAGGCAGGTGGACCCTCATGCCATTTTACATAAAATCATTTATAACTAGAAATGGGTAGCAATAGCCACTGAATACATACCATTAAAACCTGTGGCATATTTTCAATAACACATGAGGTATTTTGCTTCCCTATGAGCAGATACCTTGCTTTTGTAATTTCTAGCTGATTTTTTCAGGTGACATTAATGCTTCTTAAGTGCTTCCAGAGTTGACTTGCTCGGGAGGTAGAGCTGAGCTCCTTGTGAGAGATGTCACACGTCCCTGAGAAAGAGAGAACAGAAGGGTTCTGACTTCCCACTGCCGAAAAATCCACTCACACGCTCAAACACTGTCAGATGTGGTAAAATCATGCCGTAATTTTTAGAAATTTCTGAATATGGATGAAGTTTGTCTGAATGCTGAAGTCTGTTGGCTCACCTCAGGAGCTGTCGAGGTGCTTCAGGTATCGGGTGGAAATTTTATGCCCTTCTTCATTTTTTATGCTTTAAGGATATATATCATAAAAAGGGTGAGAGCCCAAACTGTTACTGAACAGACCTCAGCCCCGTTGTTCCTCCTGGCTCTCTGGTGGTTGTTTCTGCCCCTTATATTATCCCAACCTACCTGTAATGGGGAAAACTTGGCATTAGTGACTTTTTTGGGTGGGTTTTAATTTTCTTTATGTTTAACCAGTGAATGGCCTTACTAGGTGGGTTCATACATTCGTGCCTGCCATCTCAGAATGGATGGAAGGAGTGCAGCCAGCCATGGGGCAGGGCAGGTTGAGGTAGGGCTAATTTGGTTTATGCAGTTGAGAAGTGGTGTCCTTGGTTTGTTTCCTGTGATTCAAAAAAATAGTGAAGAGTAGAATCGTAGCATGGTTTGGGTTTGAAGGGACCTTAAAGATCCTCAAATTCCACCCCCCTGCCCTGGGCAGGGACACCTCCCACCAGCCCAGGTTGCTCCAAGCCCCCTCCAACCTGGCCTTGAACCCCTCCAGGGATGGGGCAGCCACAGCTTCTCTGGGCAACCTGGGCCAGGCTTTCACCACCTTCACACCAAAGAAGTTCTTCCCCACATCTCATCTCCATCTCCCCTCTTTCAGTGTCAAACCCTTCCCCTCCTCCTATGGTTTGCCTCCCTGATCCAGAGTCCCTCCCCATCTCTCCTGGAGCCCCTTGAGGGACTGGACGGGGCTCTAAGGTCAGCCTCAGTAGGGGTGAGCAGGAGAGACGGTAGCTGTAATGCAGGGCTGAGGTTGGCTTATGTAAAGTCTAGAAAACAAGTATATGAAGTAATTTTGCCTAAAGGACAAAGCCAGATCATCCAGAGAATGTGCTGTAAAACTCCAGTGTGGGAAAGAACAATCTCATGAATCACCCTACTCTCTGCTTTCCAAATGAAATGCAGGAGAAGGTGTTCCATGCTGTTTGGGGAGGGAAGCGCCGGGAGGAGTGCGGGATGGCAGGGGCTGAGATGAGCCAGGGCCAACGCAGAAGCTGCCGTGGCCTGAGCCGTGTCGGAGGGAGACACACACTCCTGGCCTGCTAAGACCTGTGTTGGGATCTTGGAAATAATATGAAATGACGTAAACGAGAGCGAGGAGTCAGATACGCATCTTGTTAAGAACCATAATTTTTGTCATGGTTTGTGTTGTAGTATTTAGACAGTAGGCCGACTGAAAAAAACCCAACAAGTAACCCCATGCCGATACCACGTTCTATTTTCTGTTTCTATATGTCTGGCTTTCCTGAGTTGCATCATCGCCGTGTTTAAATTTGCTTGATGCCTTTTGTTGATGAAAATATATCGCATAAGTAGCCTGGTTTTTGCAGCTGTGAACACTTTAAGCGTTGTTGTTTTTTTTTTATTTTTTTGTGTAACTGTTAAGTTTTTCCCTTTTGTGTTTTTTTCCTCTGTCTGATGTTATTTGCTTTGATGTGATGGCGTTCTTTTCAGCTTGACATTTAGGCAAAGGTTTCTCATGTGTTCTTGCCATTGTGTGTCATAGCTAGCTTTTAACATTTCATATCCAACTTAGCCTGACTTTTTTGTTGATTTTGTTCTGGTTTTCTACAGTGGACAGGCCAAAATCCCAGCAAATCAGAACTTCTGGTACCATAAGGCGAACTTCTTCTTTGGACACAATAACAGGACCTTACCTCACAGGACAGTGGCCACGTGATCCCCACGTACACTACCCTTCATGTATGAAAGATAAATCTACTCAGGTAAAAAGCTGTAAAACAAGACAACAGAGATGTTTCATGTAATGGATGTCTTCCTGATAATACTTTTTATCACCTGATCTGGAATCTTAGCTCAATTCAGTTCTGAAGAAATGTGGGTTCACTTAATTTTATTATAAATATAAAACCCTAAAAATAGGGTACAGTAGCTTTGTTTTTTTTTTTTAACAGTGTTTTTTAACAATTCACTAACACGGTATGCAACAGTTAATATTTTTATGCTTTTTAGAAAACAGTTGTTAAAAATCATTTTCTGTATGTGGGCAGATCTGTTGAGGCTAAATGAGCAGATTTCAATCTCAGCCTTGTATCTGGTTTATTTTGAAGCCGCTATGTGCAAAATAGTGCTGAGTGCTATTTAAAAAAAAAAAGATTCCAGAATGGCAGTAGCTGACGAGCTAAAGGTTTTACTAAATCGTGGTAACAAATCTGTGGGTTTCAAAAAAGTGTATTTGTGTGTGTGTGCGGGGGAGGAGAGAGGTTGCTGTTGAGAAGGATTGATGGGTTCATCGCTAGAGGGGAGATCAAGACGGAGGAGGCTGGGAGTGAGCGTGTAACAGGGTCTTGAGATGTTCCCTCTGCTGCTTGCCAGCCAGAAGGACAAACACAAATGCTGTGTGGAAGAGCTGCCTTTTGAAGCCAGGCATTGGAATGAGAGCCTTTCCACCAGCTACAAAGGGAAGGGGACTGAGATTATTTATGTCCTGAGAGCCTTGTGCCACCCTTGGGTCCTCCTTGGGGCCCTGTCCTTGGCAGGAACCTCTGGCAGATAGGCTGATATGGCATTCACAGTGCTCTTTGGCTAGAAACATTCTTTCTTGCCTGATTCCTCCTCATGCTGGACCTTCTTGCCCACAAAGTTGATCACTATCAAACAGGTAAAACAATACGTAATTCTAAAAACTCCCAATTTTTAGCAAAGGAACTGCATTCTTGGGTTTTCAGGAGAATTTCAGGGTATGGAGTAAGTCATTTATGTTCTACACTAAATTGGAAACTAGAAAAAACTAACTGGTTATATTTTCAGTCTACAGGCCATGTAGGGACGGTTGCTAAATCAGTTTCCTATCTCTCGTGCCATGTTTCTGGCCCATGGATATCATGGGTGTCCTGCAAAGAAAATTCATACCTCTGTCATCCTTTTGCTTATAACGATCTTGTGCTATTAAGAATTGTTTTTAGTGGAAGCTTATGTTGTCACAATGCGTATGATGCCTTTAAATTATCAAGGGTTTTTCTGTCATGACTTGTAGGTGGGTAGGTTTTGGTTAGTTTCCACTGACTTGCAACATACTTGTCTTACAGCAAAGGCAGCAGCTCTTCGAATTGATTCTGGGTTTTAGTCTTTTCTGTAATACTGAATTTCTCAGGACAAAATAGAATATATGAAAAATTTTCCATATCTCTTCAAAATCTGCGGTAATGCAACGCAGGAAGTCCTCTGATGGGGGAAGGGTAAGCATAGAATGCTTAGAAAGGAGAAAAAGATTTGTCTCTGTGATCCTGAAATGCTGTTTAATGAATTTGGGATTTTGATGATTAAAATTGTTCAATGAAACTTTTAGAAATGGCAGTGGCACCCTTTAATAAAATGCTGTCTTCGTGCCGTACTCCTTCATTTTGAAACCAGCCAGCCAGTTTTAGCAAAAAAAAAAAGAACAAGCAGTCATCATGTTTACTGTCGTGAAAGATCTATCTAAAAAGCTCTTAATCCCGGATTTACTTCCAAGGTGCCTTCCTTTCACAATACTATGCCTTGAAAATCTTTCTGGTTTGAAACTATAATTGCCATTCAGGAGCTTTTCGGTGGCGTGCATTGTAGGTACTGTATTTCTTAGCCCCTCTCTCATAAAACATGTATCCATCTCAAACTTCCCAAATACCCTTACGAATAGAAAATTTAGAATATTTAAACATTCACAAACAAACCTTTTCACTAGTTACAGAAAAGAGAAACAAACTTGTTCTATAAATATTTGAGCTCCAAGCATTTGGCAGGAAAATTGCTTTCCTGGGGAGCTCAAGTAAGTGTTTAGGTTATTTGACCTGTTGGCTGCCACCCTTTGCTTCATTCAGAAACAAAGCTCAGGGAAGGGAAAAAAAAATAAAAAAGAAGTTTTACCTTTTCAGCATAATCAAATGTAACCGAGAGGAAAGGCAGTATCGTTGTCAGTGCAAGGTGAGGTATTATTTGGAAGGGATAAGAGCAGGGAAGTTTGATGGTTTGGATTTGTATGGATATCCTCTAACAAGGAATTACCTTATTCACATTATGCAGAAGTCAAGCATTTAGCAGTATTTAAGTTGAGCTGAAAAACATGTGTCTTGACTGTTCAGAGCTATATAAATAGTAAAATGGAACAGTCCTAGTGACTGGCACAGAAAATTCCATTTATTTTTTTTAATAAAATTTTCACTAGGGAGTGTTGTAGATGAACTCAGTCGTAAAATACTTGAGTTATGTTTTGGTTTTGTGGGGTTTTTTGTTGTTGTTTGAGATCTATATAGTTTGAAGTATATCTAATTTCAGGAACTAAGGATGAGTTCCAGGTCGTTGATAGGATGCATGCATGGCAAATTAAGTTAAATTAAAACCTCACTCTTTGCCTGAGTACCAGCACAAGTACTTCCACTGCTTCGTGTTTGTTGGCTCAGTAACAGTTTAGCTCATGGGAGTTCATATAGTTTACAGTAGCTAAAAATAATAACACTTGGTAGTTTAGCAGGTGGAAGATGGTAACAAACAAAATAAATGTAAACAAGTTAATGAAAATCAATAAATGTTTTTTTTTTATATGCGCTTGTTTCATTGGAGAATAAATTATCTCTTGTTTTACTTCTAAACTCATGAACAATGCTGTCAGTATAACTTACCTTGTCAGTGGAATAATTATTTCTCTTTCAAAGATACTTTTTGTCCTTAATTAACCATTACTTTAAAATCCAAATTTTATGCAGTTTCGTGAAGGTAGTGATTATGGCTCTTCCAAGTTTCTTAGAATTCTTGTATTTAAAAGAAAAAGAAAAAAAAGGTCAGATTCTGGTCTTGATTAGTTGAAACCTTTAATGAGTTTTATTCCAACTCCTTGTTTCCCACTTCTGTTCTTTGAACCTGTTTAGTGCTCATGAATGTTTTTTCTTTCTCTAAAATTCAACCAGGATTTTTAAAAAAGAATGCAGTAATAACTTATCATTTAAATAGAGAAAACAGAATTTTGTTTGTTTGGTTTGGTTTCTGTTGTATCTTGGAGAACAGTAACTGTAGTTCATATTTCTGTCTCTCTCTTCTCCACCTCAAGTGTTTTAACTGCAAACACTGCAGAGGAGTGAGGCTGTTATGTTTGCTTTTGGAAAAATATACTATGACACTCTGCATTGTGACATTTACACAGTTCCAGCTTTCTAAGAATTCTCTGTGTGTTTATGCTCGTGTGTGTATGTGTGCATCTGCATAAAACTAGCTGATCTTTAAGGAGCAGCAAGTTTTGGATAATTCAAGGTATGCCATTTTATTGAGTAGTGTTTAAAGTATTTCAGAAATGCAGGGAAATTTACCTTTGTAGGAAGTTATTACACATGTTGATATACTTTGTCATCCCCTTCCCAAGTTCCTCCAGTGTCCTACTTCCCTCTCTTTTTCATTAAAATTTGAACTTTTCATTAAGGCCATTTAAAACTCAGCATAGCTTCCTTCCCCATTTTTTCCATCTCTGTTGGGAGCACGGATGGAGAAATGTTGTATACTTCTTCATGCTATACATGTGTTTCCCCCTTCCTAGTGTAAGGAATAATTCAATGTTGAAATCCTAACCTCAGAATCTTCAGAAACGTTTGGATAATTGTTAGTTTTTTAATATAATTATTTGGCAGTAGCTAAATAATTTAAAAGAATTTTATAAAATAAAAAAGAAGGAGAGTTTAGGAATAAAGATACGAATTTGATGTCATAACAAAGATGTGGCCAGTTAAAGTTCATCTGTGTAATCTTCCTTGATCTAAATAATGCAAAGAAAAGAACAAATGGCCAAGTGGAATGTGATTCATTGGTTTCTTGCACCCCCGCTCCCCCCAATTGACTTCTTAAACTGGGTTCCAGTATGCCTGGATATGCCGCCTTCAGTGTATATGGAAATGAGGTATTACACAACCAGAAATGAAGAAAGTTTGCAAAATGCCATTGAGAATTTTTACTTCTATCTAATCTAAAGAATAATGCAGTTATTAAACTGGAACACTTGGCAAAAATACACTTCTGTTCTTGTGTGGGGGTCAAGGTTTAATGTAGTTACTTCTCATTAGTCACCTGAATAAAGTTTTGTTTTCTCTTGGGTTGAAATATTGGTGCATTAGTTGTCATTGCATTCACGGGATATTTTAATGACGTACTTTGGGGGGAAGGGACAAGGGGGAAGGAGTATGTGTCATATAACTGTAAATTTATCACTAACTTTTCTGAGCTTGTATGATGTTTAAGAGGAGTCATCACCTGTAGTCAAATTAACTTCTAGTTTTTTAGGCTATTTCTTTCTGTAAAATTTCTAGAGGGTCTTTAAATGTTTTGGAAACATCTGAAGACTCAGAATCACACAGAATCACAGAATGGTATGGGGTTGGAAGGGACCTCTGGAGATCATCCAGTCCAACCCCCTGCCAGAGCAGGGCCACCTAGAGCAGGTCCCACAGGAACATGTCCAGGAGGGTTTGAATGTCTCCAGAGAAGGAGCCTCCACCACCTCTCTGGGCAGCCTCTGCCAGGGCTCTGCCACCCTCACAGCAAAGAAGTTCCTCCTCAGGTTTAGGTGGAACTTCATATGTTCCAGTTTGTGCCCATTCCCTCTTGTCCTGTCCCTGGGCACCACTGAAAAAAGCCTGGCCCCATCCTCCTGACACCCACCCTTTAAGTATTTATAGGTGTTGATCAGATCCCCCCTCAGTCTTCTCTTCTCCAGACTAAAAAGACTCACCAGGCTTTCTCTTTTGTGCTGTTGTTGCGTTTCTTTTGAAAGTGGAAGTTTTTCACAACCATTATTGCCTCCCCTGTAAAACCTAGACTTGCATTCTTAATCTTTGCACCCATCCCCCAGGGTAGTTAATCTGGAATGCAGGCTAGATATAGTAATTAGAGCAGAGGGCTGGCAATAAACGGCGAGATTATTTAGAGTAATTCAGTCTTATTTTAGGTTTAGGTGGGTTGAGACTCCGTGCAGTCATTCTACTGTAAATGAAGTGGAAAGAATGTAGGTGTATATATCCCTGCCATGGGTGGAAAAGCAAGGCAGAATTACCAAACGCCTTGGAAGAAATGCTGATCTTTACAAGGTTGGGTGAGTTAGAACAATGGTAATTGTGATTTACATTAAGACTGAAGAGAGCAACCAGATGTGGTTTCTCAGCATGTCCTATCCCATGCGCGTGCTTTGAGCGTTGTGTCAGCTGAAACCGGGACCATGAACCTTCACGCTTCGAAATACCAACCATCCTCCTCCTCTCGAAGCTGCGGCAGGCGTTACTTAATGCTTTCAAGGTTCTCCTGCTAAAGTGTTTTAATTCTTGGTTTCTGAATATAGACTTGCCATGACACTGAGTTAATATTTAAGTGATGCTCTAAATTCGTTTCAGCTCTGAAATATTACCAGTTTCACAGCTAGAGCCTGTGACCCCTCTTACTGTGTTTCTGACTTGAGTTTTTGGTTTGAGCTTTGGTTTTGTATATGGCAATTTGGAAATTTTTCTTCAAATACAGTTTTGAGTTACTTTTTTACTTTCATTATTTTTTTAATATGTTTAACACATGGGAAGTACACTTGCAGCTTCAAATGAAGGCTTCCACGAATAAGCCTGTTTTGTAGAAATTGTAAATAAAAACAATTTTCATGAAACGTGGAATATCAAGGGTGCTGTACACCCCCATTTTATTTGGAAATGTAAGTTACAACATTCAAATGAGATACAAGGTGCTCATACATAAGCTAAACTTACAAAACCAGAATTTCTGTTTGACTATAACAAGTGTGGGTGGTTTGATGGTGGGGTTTTTTATTGATTGTTTTTGGCTCTTTTTAAAAAAAGGCTTTTGCTTGAATATAAGAATTTTGCGTTACAGACCCAAAACTCTTCTTCATATAATGTGGGTTACAATATATTATGAGCAGCAATTTCAGGGGTTTGAAGAAGGCTGGCTTGCTACAGTATTCTAGTAACTGCTTATGTTGTGTTATTTTTTAACCTTTTTTTCTTTTTTCCATCTGAATATAAATGGCACATTAATATAACATTGCCAGAGTTCAGTACTTTGCTAGAAACATTATATAGTATTTGTAATCTAATACTACAAATGAAATTGAGGGACACAGAGTCCACCCCCTGCATACTGATACGTGTATGTATATTTTTGAAAGGTTGCGGCTTGACTCAATTAACCATAGATTGAAAGCAACTGTGTAGTCTTTGTCTCAAGGGAGATAGTATTTTAGTGGAAGAGAGTGTCAAAGAATATTTGAGAAAGTACAAAATTTAGTGAATGGATGTTTTATTTTTGATTTCTGATTAAGTCAACTGCACTATAAGGATTCCCACCTCTCTCTACTAATAGTTACGAGTGTTGTTGATGAAGTTCTTCAGGGTGTTGTGATTGGTTTGGTTTTGTTCTTGCTATCTGGATCAATATCTGTGCTTACTAAAAAATTCAGGCAAGTTCTTGCTTTCTGTGTAATGGAGTTGTCATTTTTTTTTTCAGTTCTTAGCAGTTTAATTCTCGTTGTTGAAAAACTGACTTTTTAGATACCTGATGGCTCTTCAGTTTTGCTTATTAAGCTCTAGTTGAGAGGCTATGAGGTTGTAGTGATCCCTGGTACACCCTCCTGCACTACAGGAGGATCTTTAAACACCTGAAATACCTTTTCCTACTTCATCCTGGAGTTGTTCCCCAGGCTATGGAGCAGTGCTGTATTCAGAATATGCTCTTTGAAGATAAATTTTCCAATAATTCCCCTTGCATTAACGTTTTCTGTTTTTGTATGAGGATGTGGTTCCGGCTGTACTTGGGATATAGTAAAATCCTTTAAGAAAAGAATAGTTGAAATTGGAAAGTCAATTGTAATAGACCGTGAAAGCCCATGATTTTGAAAAAGGAGCAAATTTTTTCTCCAGTTCTTTGGAAATCTGCAAGCCACTTCAATACCTAAAAAAATAAATTAAATGCAATACTGTGTCTTTCGCAGAAGTTTCAGGGAGATGTTAAGTACCCAATCTAAAAGTACATGTAATTATTTAGAACATGGCTCCACTAAAGTGCAGGGCGAGGGGATGCACACACCGGTAGCCTGGGGCAGAGGCTCTGCTTTGGGGTTGCCTGGCTGAGGGACTCCCATATTCCCCTCAAAGTTTTAAATAGCTGGTTTAAATCTTCACTCTTGGTGACTAATTGTTTTGGTTATTTTTCATAGCCATATTATCTTCTGGCTTCTTCCTCAGACCCACACACAGAGCGTCATATAATAAATACACAGAACCCTAACTTTTTTTATAAAGAGTTTTGTTTTCTTTCCTGGGAACATGCAGCAAAAAAATTTTTTTTCTTTCCATTTTGCTTTTAATTGCCCACGCAGCTTCCTGGGCCTTTGGTAGAAGTATTTCTGGTGGTGTAAAAATAACGGAGACAAAAACCCACCAAAAACACGGAAAGTGCAGGGCTGGCAGAAAAAACAGAAGTGGGATACATAGGCCTGTGTGCACAAAGTGATTTAGCACATTAATTATTAGCACTTGGGCGTTAAGTGCCGGGATGTAGGCCGTGTAATGCTGTAGTGATAAAGGCCTGTGGCCTGACACTGCAGTTCAAGGCCTAATGGCGCCAGGCCGGGCCTGATGTCCTCAGCTGGAGAGGCCTGGCCCCAAAGGCGCTTCCACCTCCCTTCGAGGTGCTGCAGACATTGTTTTTGTGGTGGTTTTGTGGTGTTCTCCAAGGCGATGCCCGGCCTCCTTGAGCAGAAGAGTGTTTGTTACCTGTGTGGGCACGACAGAAGTTTCTAGAAACCTAGAGGGGAAGTGAGAGTAAGGAGAGCTGTGGAGGAAGAGTGTTCCCCTGCATGAGAAGGGGGTCCCTCAGGGAGGAGGATCCCAGATCTGCTGGGCTGGGGTCCTGTCTCCACTGGCGAAGTGTCAGCAGTGGTCCCCTCCCTGAAGAACCTCACTGCCAAACCCTCATCATTTTCAGTGCTATAGTTGTATCTCTTGTGGCCTTACTGTGAAAGGTTCAGCTAATACAAGTAGAAATTGTTGAAAAAAACACTTTTTTTTTTCTTTTCCCATTTTTATATATCTGCCTAAAGCTCTGAGTGTTTGTATGATTCATATCCCAAACTCTCCCTGGATTTTAGATGTCCCCCATAGCTCCTCTGGCAGCCGGTGACTCTCTTGTTCAGAAACGCCGGTGGATACCCTCAGTTTTCATAATGTTCTTGTGGTGAATAAGCACAGGAGTTTGGAGATAGGGCTTCCAGACCTTTCTCAATCTTTAGGGTTTAACTTTATAACTCCTACATCCAATCACAGTCCCCAAATTCCAGGCTTGCAGAGAAGCCTGGAAAAGGGCTGCTCTTCACTGTTCTGCTCATGTAGGTCGGTGCCAAAAGCAATAAAAGGCATATCAAACTCTGTATCAAGTCAGAGTTAGCAAGAAGGAGTTGATTATATGGCCAGTGATTAAGGGAACATAAGTGGGAGAAGTGCATCCTGGCTTTCAGTCTCTTGAGTTTGTTAGTATATTTTTGTAAATCTTCTGGTTTTCTAAACTGTCTACTGGGTGAAAACTAGAATCGGATGCCAAAGCGCAGATGAGAATAGCCAAGTAAGGGTTTTTTGTGATTGTCAGGCCTCTGATTCCTTCTTCAGTGATGTGCCTTGTCCTCATCCTTTGTAAATGCAAATTTACAAAGCCTTAGTTTTCGACATGTATTTTTTATGTATTGAGACTATTAGTGCTGCATATCAGATTCTGACATTTATTCTTCATGTATAATGCCTGAACTCTGACACTGCAGAAAGAGTAAAACAATAATTTAAGCCAAAATTTTTTCTTACCTGAAGAATTCAGTACAGTATATTTTCTGGTTTTTTTTCCTCTCTAGACACCTAGCTGTTGGGCTGAAGAAGGAGCAGAAAAGAGATCACATCAACGCTCAGCATCATGGGGAAGTGCTGATCAATTAAAAGAGGTGAGAAGTTTTGCACAGTGAAGCCTTTCAAGTTTTGATGTGCCCAAGACGTTTTTTTAATCCCTATCAGGAGTCCAGGAAACTGCACCCTTTCCCCTCCCCTCTGTTGCTTTTGAAAAAACAGGTTTTACCTCCAATGTAGGAGTTATTTCAAGAGTGGTTGTTATTTTACGCCTGTTGGATTTCCTCCCTTCCTACTCCACAGTGTTGGCTGTGAAGGAGCAGTCGGAGTGAGTGCTGAAGAACCAGCTTGTTGTTGCTTACTCGTTTTTCTCTTCAGAGTAACCTTAGGTAGCTTTCTGTTCCTTACTGCTGCTCTCCTGAAAGAGGCAAAGTATAAGTTGGTATGTTAGCATATTCTTCTTTAGAAATTTCGTTCAAGTTTAAGGGTGGAGATAGAGAGGACATCACTTTTACAAATAAAAAGGAGAATAGGTGTGGATACAGTAGTGATAGGATTGCTTGTAAAATGCTCTTTAATCATATGTATTTTGCTGTAGACTACAGCTGCAACTAGAAGGAACCTGCCAAAGGTGAAGTGGATTTGCATAATGAGAAATTAGATAGAATAAAATTGTCCTCAGCTCAGCTGAAATGGCAATATTTCAGTTTTTGTCCTAGTCAAGTCCATTCTATCCAGAGTTCATAGAATCTTAAAATACCAAGTTGGAAATGACCTCAAGGATCATCTGGTCCAGCCGTTCTTGGCAAAAGCACAGTCTGGACACAATGGCCTAGCACCCTGTCCAGCTGTTTCCTAAAAGTGCCTGATCATGGGGAATCCACCACTGCCCTGGGAAGATTATTCCAATGTTCTCATTGTAAAAAAATTTCATCTTGCGTTCAGTCAGAATCTCCCCAGGAGTTACTTGTACCTGTTGCCAGTCATCTTTTCCGTGTGACTCCTTGTGAAAAGGGAGTCTCCATCAGGAAGGGTGCAGCCTCTCTTCCAGAACAGCACCTTTCTTTTTTACTAAATTAATCTTGTGGCATATTCTTAGGGGGTTGGACTTTTCCCTGATGCTCTGGGCTTTTTGCATCCTCTCCTGTCTCGCTGTTTAATGGGACATTCAAAAAGGAGAAGAAATGTATAGGTTGTCTGAGGAGATGATTACTGGCAATATGTGGTCCTCTTCCCTTGATAGGAACAATAGTTGTCAAAAGGAGTGACATCAGTTTAATTACTTGACTTTTAAAATCAGATTTGACAAATATGGCATAATCTTGTATTCCAGTGGTGGCAATAGCCTCATTTTTTAAAGATGAGGACCTGGGCCAAAGAGAGGTCAATCCAAAGAGGGTTGTCTGTTCCCATCTCGTTGAGTACCTGTTATGAAACTCATTATGGCTGATTTATTAGTATATTCACTTGCCTGGGTGACTTCATCTGCAGCTGTGAGGAAGCCCTCAGAATCACGGATGAAGTCCCCAGAAATGAGCGCAGAAGGAGTTTTGTGTCTGAAGAGTTTTGGCTTAAACGTTACCTCCCAGCACAGAGGAATTGTAGCAGGGGCAGGCGTAGCATCTGTATTTGCAGGATAACGCTCACTTGCTTTTACTGAGAGACCATCCTTCATCTTCTGGCGGTTCCCTATCAAGTTCTGCAACCAGCAGCTTTTCTTCACCACAGGGCTGTGACTGTCAGCGATAGGGGAGCCTTCAGCATGTAAGCAAGCCTCTGCCGTTTGATAACAGCCATCCACTGTGCTAGGGTGCCATCCTCTGTGTGGACTGACCACAAGAGAAAGAGAAGAAACCTGGCCAATGGGTTTCATGGTTCCTTAGCGATAGACCACAGTAATGGAAAAACCAGGCTGTGTGGAAGAGAATTGTTTCTATCCAAATTTTGCAATGGTTGTTCACCACAAAACCTGCCCTTGTCTTCTCCAGCTTATAGTTCCTCGGAATTGTTTCTATCCAAATTTTGCAGTGGTTGTGCCCTTGTCTTCTCCAGCTTATAGTTCCTCTCTTCCTCTGTTTTCCTTTCTCCAGCTTCTCAGACCAGTTTTCTTGCCTTTTCTGGTTCCCTGGGTTCACAGTCCCAGTGTCATTCTCTGTGCACTGTCCAGCCAATTCTCATTATCTTCCCTACTTGAGCTGTTACTCAGTTACCTTCCAGCTCCTTGTCTGTTCTGTCTTTCCATTATTTGGCTTCTATTTTATCCCTTTCTTTTTCCTTTCCCTAACCTGTAAGTCCTGGTTCCAGTTTCTCTGCCTGGCTACTTAATGCCTGTGCGGTGGGAGGTGAGAGTTTGTTCAATACCAACAGCATCTCAGTTTCCTTGTGGCACAGCAATCTGCAGATTCTGGAAGGAGGAACTCTGGGGCAGCTCTGTTCAAACTCTAAAGCCCACTAGAGACAGAATCACTAGCAAATGTAGCTGCCAGATCCAAACATCTTTCTTGAACATGTGCAAACTGAAATTTTTTCTAAAGCTTTGCCAAATGTAAAGATTTTTCCAAGGGAATGGAGGGGCACATTCCCAGCATAAAGGACCTCCAGACAAATACTTAGCTTTTTATTCCAAAGCATCGGACATCAGAGCTTCCTGGGTAAAAAGCTACGATAATGTGTTTTAGCACATAAAATGATTTGCATCTACCTTTTATTTTAATTGTTATTCTTAAAACAACTCTAATACTTGTACTGCCATCTCTGATGGGGACGGGACAGAAGAGCTGAATGTTCACGGTAGACTTCAGAGAAAAATTTGACAAAGCTAGAGGCAGCTGAAAGGAAGAGCTTAAGTAATGGAAATTAAAGTCTCACCTCTCCTGGGCAACTGCATTTGTTATGAGTAACGTAGGTAACAGCAGTTCTGCCTCGCAGTTTGAATCCCTTCCCACAGTGTTTGAGGGTAAACTAGCAGGTAGCTGTGTACACACTCCTAGGCTTGTCTTAGCAGTTTGGCTTCATGTTTTCTTCTTCCCACAATCAATGGAATGATTTCTCGCATGTATTTTTTTATTATGTTGATACTGTAAACTGGCCAAATACTTGTATGCATACTTTTAATTGGTATCGATAAAAGAAGATTGAATGTGCTTTTAAGTTGAAAAAACTTGGTTTATTTCCTTGGTTAGTTTGAGAGCTATTACAATTAAAAGCATTTGTTAAAACAACTGGGAGCTCTTTTAAAAAAGATTTACATTTAAAACCCCTAAAAATCAGTGTATAGACTTATGATCCAAAGCAAGCAAATGAATTCTGTATTAGCACATAAAAACAAATTTCACTTTGGGTAGTTGAAAATTCTTTTGCCCTTGAATTGACAGAGGGAGTGCCAGGGTTGAACCTGTTTGGCAGTGAAATGGGCAATGCTTGCTTTCTTGTAGTGGGTCTATTAAAAAATTTACAACTCCCCAGCTCTCAATATGAACTTGGTAATGATAGAGTGTACCTTTTTTTGTCACCTCCTAACAAGATTTACCTTTTTTTTATTATTATTATTTTATTCTGAAGGGATCTACTGCTTGTTTTTACGAAGTCTTGAGTGTAACTTGTTGTAAGATAATGCCAGACTGCTTTAATATTATTTTAATAAGTACGTGTCTTGATTGGGAGATAAAGATTGCTATCAGTCTTTGTACTCATATTTTTCCCCCTTTCAATCTGAATAGTTAGATTGAAATTCTGTTGAATAGGGACAATTTTAGTTGTAGCTTACCCTGAACTGGAATTTACTTAGAACCAGAAAACCCCTGGATTTAAAATAAATAGTTTTCCGTTTGTATAAGTTTTTAAGGACCTATTTCAGATGATGGATTTTTCACTCCCCTTAAGCACCTCTGTGTGCTGTATCTGTTACACTGGCACCAGCAACCCCCCACTGGAACGTCCCTTTTGCTCTAACAGAGTACTTGAAAAGGACTTTGGAATAAAAGAGAATAGAATATGAGAGCTTACACTTTTTATATGCTTTCATATACCAATTGAGAGATTGTATTCAAAGGCTTGGGGTGAATTTCTAATGCTTGTTTTACTCTTTGACCTACTGGTTAACTTTTTTATTAACAGTTGGTTCCTGAAAGAGTTAGAGCTCACTCTCATAATGAAGAGTTTGGCTTGCTCAGAAATAAGAAGTTACTATGTTGTGTAGCCTGATTTGTAGAAATACAACCTATTACCTGGTTATTATTAAGCATTTGGACAGGAATGGTGAGATGTGACATGTTCCTTCATATTAGTAGTCTGCACCTAAGTCTCTTCAAATGAAAAATTTGAAGTATCAGGATACTCAGATTATTCCAGTGTTGTAAAGAACAGACCTCATTTGCTTATTTCTCAGGTTTGTGCCATTAGTTATATTAGACTGCGTGCATATTATGGGTGTTATAGACAAGAGTTATATTGATTTCAAGTACACTTCTAGCTGTCAAAACATTCAGCAAGCAAAAACCATATTTATAGGGTTTTATCCTAATTTCTTATTCATTTAATAATCTTTGATGGGCGTCTTATAGTTGGCTGTATGACAGTGAACCATCAAGGCTGAACTGCAGGTTTGTGCCCTGAATGACCTCATATAGGTTTATTACTGATGAACTGGTCTTTGTGTTTTGTTGGGGGTGTTTGTTGGTTGTTTTTTTTTTTAATAAAGAACTTTAAAGTATGTTATGAGAAGAGTTCTTCTGTTAAATCAACAATATTGCATGGAACAGTCAGTGGAAGAGGAAAGGCTGAAAACTTTAATTATTTTGAAGTGTGCACGGATGTGTGGGTTGTGTTCCTCTCCCATAGAGTCGCACACCACTCTCCCTGCTTTCTGATTATTCATGTAGCCAGCCATCTCAGTCCACAGCTGTCTTCTCATCTGGGCATTGGTTTTATCTTCTGGTTTTACATTTTTAAAGGGGAAGATGAAGATTATTTCCCTGTTCTCTCCATTCTCCAACATAAATCTTTGTAAATATATGTATACTTACCAGACCGGTTACCTGCTTGCTTTTTCATCTCTCTATGGAGCTAGATTTCCCATTTGCCATTATTCCTAAAGGGAGAATGGGGAAGTTCTGGACAATTTATTTATTTATTTTTAGAGATGCAGTATCTCTTTAGACTCTTTGAAAGTTTCTTCCAATGTGGTGCCTGAGTTGCAACTTTCATCAAGAGATAAGTCTCACAGTTCTCCAAATCTAGCTCATCTCTGTTAGAAACTGTCGTGTCAGGGTTCTGTCTGTCTTGGTGTATTTTACTCACAGACCCTTTCAGAAAGCTGAACTGTTTGTCCTGTTGTTGAAAGATCAAAGTACTCAGTATTTCTGAGTAGCAGCTCTCTGAATACGGGTAACGAGCTGTGGTAAGACTTGATATGAAGCTGTAAAGGTTGATCCTTCTTTTGTGAGTGATACCAGAAATGTCACAAAGAAGAGTCCACAGCCTGGAGCAAAGCTCCATCCAAACCTCTTCACCGAGCGCTGTCGTCTCTGACACCGTGAAGAGTGATGTGAAGTGATTCTCTGCCACGGAGCTGCTTTGCAAGAGCACTAGTGATATATTTAACTACTTGGAGTTAACCACAGAGTGCGTGTACTTGTAAGCTGTCACTCAGAAGGAGAGGTTGATGAAGTTCTTTGAAATACGAATTCCGTGTGCATTCAGTTCTCCTTACTTGCCCTTCAAGTTTTTTAAAATTGTGCCTCAAGTTGGGTTAAAAATGAAATGGGGCCGTGCATGCTGTGCCTTAGATGCCAGGGTGCTGAGCATGGGGAAGACCAGGACTTGAGCCCAAAGGAAGAAATTACCCAGTCTTCAGGAAGTGTCTGTACCTGTTGTGTGAATTTGCACAGTCTAAACTTCTGAGACAATGCTTATAGAGAGAAATACTCTCTTTTGTATAGGAATATCCAGGAGGAATAAATAAGTGGAGGAATCCCCAAATGGAAGTTCTTTGGTTTCTGTTAAGGAGGAAGTCAAATGGATAATGGCTTTAGTTGCATTTGACCTTTAAAATATGTAACTTTTGATTAGACATCTTTGCAGCAGACAGCAGAAAAGATAATTCTGTCTGCCTGAAGGAATCTGTGATAATTTAGCCTGCAGGGAAATGCTATTAAATGTATTAAATAAGTTCTCCAAGATGAGTGCTGCATATTGATTGCCAGTTGTTTGTGAAGGCTCTTTGCTTCCATGATGAATTATCATTGGAAAACTTTGGTTGGGGTTAAGATCAAACAATTTAAACTGGAGGCTTCATTGTCCCCAGTTTAAACCAGTTGTAGGCTAGAAATTGCTACAGATGGTCATTGTGACTACTTTCGTTTGCATCAGTTACTACAGTGCTTGTTTGTAAATGAGGAAGTTTAGTAATTAAACTAAGCCTAATTAAACTCGTGTTCAGGTTGGCAAATAGGGCAGATACTTTGGAGAAAATAGCTAATAAGCAGAAAGAAGCCTTTTAATGCTCGTGCTTCGAGGGAAGGCAATCCCATATGCTTGTAAAACCCCTCCAAAGAGGACTTCAAATGTCTGCGATTGGGAAGATTTGAGCCATTACCCATTTGATAACTCATTATCACTTCACCTGAACTTCTTTCCAGCAGATTGCCAAGCTGAGGCAGCAGCTCCAGCGCAGTAAGCAGAGCAGTCGTCACAGCAAAGAGAAAGAACGTCAGTCCCCTCTCCATGGCAACCATATAGCAATCAGTCAGACTCAGGTAAGCAGAGAGTTATTTGTATTAGCAGCCTCCTGCCTTATCGGGGTTGGTGAATAGCTTGCTGAAATGCTTAACAGCCTGATACCCTTGCATCTTCACTGAAATTTATCTGGTAGTCATCATATAATAAAAGAAAGAAGGGTTGCAGAAGGATAGCAACTGAAATATATTAAGATGCTGGAAAAATTCTGAGCGTGGCCAGATAAGACTGCGCTTCCAGGAATACATCATGCTTGTTTCCAAGACTGATTTTTATGGTACACTTTCAGGAGTCTGCTTCTCTGGAAGGTTATTTGCTTATCAGTTTCACAACCCAATTTCATCTGAGCTGGTTAAAAAAAAAAAAAGAAAAAAGAAAAAGATAGTACCAAGGGTAAGCAGTCTGGATTGGCAGCCCAACAATTGATCAGTCTTTGAGCAGCAAGCAGAACACTAACTGGCTTGTTACGAACAGACTTGTAATTCACCTTACCGTGTATTCATCAGTGAAAGACAGCAACACTGCATCACCAGAGATTCCAGGGAAAATCTCATTTCCTTGTCCCATTTTAGGAATCTTTCTGACACTTTGCTTGTTGGTCAGTTCCTGGCCAGAGGGGCAATTTTCACATGACATCGAGGAAAAACAGTATTGTGGTGTTTACTTTCTAAAAAGTAAATAATAAGTGGTAATTCAACTTGAATTGAAACTCAACTGAAATCAAGACGGTGCTTGGCACAGTACCCCATCCCTGGTGACTGGAGGACCTGTCACACTATGGGATAAAAGTCTTTTTTCTTCATGGTTTTGTCTAGGACATACCTGTTGGTTGTTATGGTAGTCCAGAATCATTGTTGGCACAGCATCCTGTCTTCTAGCGTGAGAGTTTGTGGTTGCAGTGGATATTTTACAGTACAGTTGGTACTGTAGGTTTTGAGTGTTTCCATTATATTAAATGGAAAAATAGCTGTCATCACCAGCCTGTTCTTGTTCCAGTACAGTACAGTTGGTACTGTAGATTTTGAGTGTTTCCATTATATTAAATGGAAAAATAGCTGTCATCACCAGCCTGTTCTTGTTCCAGACACTATGACTTATTGTAAAACCTCAATCAGACATAAAGTTTAGGATGCAAAATTTTGTGACCAGATGGTGTTGATGACCATTCTTAGGTTCTCTATCAATGGGCATTGTGGTGACAGTACTTCTCTCCAGTGACCGGTCTGTGGATTTGATATCCTCTTGCTGTCTTGGAGATTAAGCTGAGGCTCCTAGTCTGACATCATCTGTTTTCTGTTGTATTATTACATACCTGTTTTGCAAAGTGACATGTGACTTCAGGCAAATTTTAATGTAGCTGATCATTTTAACACTAGCCTGGCTGGGACAGATTTTGTTTTCAGGTCATTTTCATATTTCACAAAGTTAGAAAATTTTTCCTGTGCTCTGAGTATATCAATATTTCTCCTATTATGAAGATGCTGACCCACAGGAAGAATAGCTTTGGACAAATGACCTGACTACCAATGAGATTCCCCAGCAGGGAGCAATGGAGGGTGCCCCGTGCAGTGTCTGTTCTCACCATTACAACCTGCCAGCAAAATTGAAACGCAATTAGGAGTTTTAAAGCCCAGGCAAGGTTCAGTCAATGACTTCATGAACCTTAAGCCACTTGTAGAAAGCAGTTAATCTTGTCTCATTTGACAGCGCAGACGTTTGAGTCCTGATTAAATTTCACCTACAGTGGATCCTTGACTTGGAGCCCATGTTACTCACAGGCCACTGTTTGAACTCCCAAAATGTTGGTTCCGTTACTGAATTTCCTGCCTGCGATTGAAATAGCCAGTGGTTTAGGAAGAAGAGGTTGAGCCATGATGGCTGATCCTTTGAGTTCCTCCTTCTGTTTGGATAAAAGCTCATCCTTAAAACCTAGTCTTGTGATGAAGATATGCAAGAAATTGATATTCTTCCTCAAACTTTTATGCTTCTATAACAAAGGATCCCACTACATTTTGGAGAGAAAAGGGTTTTGCTTTTCATCTCAACGTACGCTGTTGTGGGTACCTCCTCCGCTCTTTATAGACACAGGAAAAACAGTCTTCAACACAGACTGAAATCCAAAATCCATATGCTTTGAAGGACCATTCTTTAGTACTTGGAGCTCACTTTGCCATGGCTCGTGCAATATTTTGATTTCTCAAGAAGGTGTTCTCTGACGAGGCCGGTGAAGTTTTCAGTTCTGGCACCCCTGCAGGAAGCCATCCTGCAGGCGGTGTGTTTTGTCAGAGAACACCTCCACACAAGTGACGTGCCCCTTTGGAGCTGCACATTGTGCAAAGTTCATTTGGCAAGAACTCAAAAACAAATTTTCACATTTTGTCTTAGGCATCCTGTGATTCTCGTAACAAAAGGACAGTGTATGTTGGGAGTGAACTCTGGTCATGGCTATCAGTGTAGATGCATCTAATGCTGTGTAGAGCTTTGAGGTTGATGGTTGATTCACTCTTGTGAATGTTTCCTGTTGGTAACAGAGCTCCACCCCAACAGGTTTTCCTGAAAACAGTATTTATTTACATGCTTTATTCTTAAACTCCAAATTATTTCTTTTGAGACCTTTGACATGAAGGTTCAGAATGAGTGCTTTATTTCTTCATTCGCTGAAGCCAACCAAAAGACAACAAAATTGCATTAAGTGAATGTTTCAGTTGAGTGGTTAAGCTTTAGGAATGTTGGGAACTGCCTGTTGGATCCCAGTTAAACCATCAGCACCTTGAGTCTCCCCACCCTTCTACTGTGTGTTCTGTAATCTATACATGTGGAAAGTACATATAGCTGCCTACTTACTGTGGAGTGAAGTAGTAAAATGCTTTTATTATAGAACACTTTGAGTTAAGTAGAGAGGATTTTAGTGGCTTTTGATTTACGCAAGCTTTTCTTTTTATTTAAATTTGCCAAGTAAAGATGGTCTTCTAGATGGCAAAATTAATACACAGGTTCTTGCTTCTTAGGGTTTTTTAGCGCTGGTTTCAGTCTTCTGTCTTTATTCCATTTTCCAACTTCCAACCGTGTTGCTCTCTACCTTCTAGGCTTCTATTTCCAGATCAGTCCCAATGCCACTGTCAAACATTTCAGTGCCAAAATCAACTGTTTCACGTGTGCCGTGTAATGTAGAAGGAATAAGCCCCGAACTAGAAAAAGTATTCATTAAGGAAAACAGTGGAAAAGAAGAAGTATCCAAGGTAAGCTTATATTAATGTGTTTATGGTTATTTTTCCTTTGTAATCTATAAACACGTGGGAAACCTTGTGACAAACCTTCCTCATGGCTGAAATTACAAATAATTTTCTTCAAAGAGCTGTTTGTTTGAAAATGTTTTAGGGTGGTGGTTGGTTTTTTGGTTTATTCGTTTGTTTTTTAAAGGGCTTCTGGCCAAACATACTTTGTTTAGAATGCCCTTTCTGTTGAGAACTTGAAAGTTTTTGTGTGAAATGCAAGTGCTTGAAAATTTAGATACTTCAGGCTACAGTAGTAAGTAATTAGAGGTTAAAGGAGATAAATTCATTTGCTCCGTTTTGCATTCTTTTTCTTAGGCAAGACTTACGTTTCTTGTGCTGTGCTCTGCTTTTTGATTTTAATGTTTTTCTTCCATAAACCGAACGTGAATCCTTTTACCTCTGTGGAACCACTGTGACCTGTCGTGGGGAGAGCTCCTGGTGGGAATTACTGACAGGCAGGGCTGGAGTGTTGGAATTGTCACTGAGGAGCACTGGGCTACTCAGATAGCACTTAAAACCTGAAATACTTGGTTTACAGCCCCTCTTTCCTAAATAGCCAATGAAGATTTGCTGCTGTGGGATAAATGACTCGACTGTTTTTTCTGATCTTCTCTAAGATGTAGGTTCTTTTCTCTTGAATGGTCACATAATAGCAGTTCAATGTACAGGTCAAGCCATAAAACCTTAATCAGAGGTTTTAGATTCCAAAACCTGATATTTGTAGTTCTTCATTTCGGCAGTAAACTTAAAAAGCTTTGGAATAATCTTGGCTTCTCCAGAGACTTAGTTGTGTGGACAAAGCATGAAATACTGTAGTAGTAAGTGTTTTGTGCTAAGTTTGCTTTCCTAAGGCTGTCTCATCCCTTTAGAAAGGGGGGGTGTGTGTTGTAACAGCGGAATAAAGAAAAAAACACACAAACCAAAACAGAAAGCCCAAATCAATAAACTTTGTTGCGCCATCTCCAAAGAGAGTCTAAAAAGGTCCGTCATACAGTGCCACCGTTGATCTTGCTATGGCTAGGGGTTTTGATCTCCTGTGGCTAGAGGACATCTCATTTATTTATCAGACAAATCATCTTCATAAGTGTTGTCCTTGGTCTTTAACAGCTTCTTACTCGGGATGCAGAACTGGGGCTGCGTAAGTTACTGAATGTCCTGGCTCTGATCCAGCAAAACAGTTAAGCACATACTTAAGTGCATTGTTGGAGCGGGGCCAGGGGCGCTCAGCAGTTTACGCCACCAAGGCGATGGTGAACCCTTTCCTCCAAACATCTCAGCTGGGCAGAGAGTCTTCAGACACAGAAGAAAGTCTTAAGTTAGACATTGCCCTTGAAGCCGAGTCCATCTTTGGGGGCAGAGGGTCGTTTCCCGCTCCGTAGCTGCTAATTTCTGCAAAGTCTGGTCTAGTGGGACCTAACTGGGAGTCCTAGCACTGTCTCTGAGCTTACGAGATCTCATAGGTCATAATAAGAGTAATTTACTGTCTTCCTGCTGGTGAACACACTCCTAATACAACGATTTAGCCCCTTTTTAGCCTGGGGGGGTTGGGGTAGCGGGGTTAAAGGTTAGGAATTACTGATCAAAAGATAAACCATAGGAAACCAAACTTCATTAGTTTCACTGCTAGTGTAACAATTTGTTTTTCTTTCAATTTTCTGCCGTTCTTTCTAGCTGTAACATTAGGTATTTTTAGAAGGTGTTTTAAAATAGCAATCCAAGGTAGTTGGTTGCTTTGGGTGATGTGTGATGGATAAATTACTCTGTAGACTTGCCTGTAAGACTGGTGTGCATCTAGATTTTCATCCGGTTTCTCTTTCAAAGTTAGGTGCTACACTAGTATCTTTCTGATTTCTTCCATTTCATTTTGATAACCACGTTTGGGCTGTCCCAAGTGAAATAAGATGCATTTTAGTTCTGTTAACATTTTAGTCTAGTGTCCTTGAATTTTTTTCTATTCGAGTCTCATCTCTTCAGTATAAACTTGTATTTTTTTTTTTAAAGTAAACTGTTTCCTAGGTCATATATTGAAATCAGACTAGGTGATACATAGGACAAAAATAAGCTTAGGTTAAAGCAGTTCTGTGGGTAGCTTTATGGATGTTACTTGAGTTACCCTTTAAATTTAGCTCCCAATTAAAATGGGTAACCAGTGAAACTTTCTTCCCAGTTTCATGCTTCCTTGCTTAGTCTTCAGATACAAAAATGAATTTAATTTACCTTTTAGACTTGTTTTTTGGTTTTGTAGGGTAGGATGTTACATACTTCATGTTCTCCCTCTTGCTCACTTCAATTTTTACAATAATACTTCTAAAAAAAATATAAGTTGATTTGGAATATGTCTTCTTATCTCATGCCGAGTTAGTTCTGTTGGTTCTTTGAAACATTCTTCTTTTTTAAAATAATATTTTAATGATAATAGAAATTACACTTACAGAAGTACAATTCCCTATACAAGTAAAAATAATTCTTGTAGACATTAGTCTTGTTTTTGTGTTTCACAAAGATAGTTAATGATACAGTAATGTCATTATGTCATTACCGTTTAATAATTTAATGGACCATAAAGTTTAGAGGGATTGTGTTGTAAGTAGCCAAAACATTCCAAATATTACATTCTTTTCAGTTTAGCAATGTGTGTGTATATTTTTTCAGATCATTCCTCTTGCTTAGTTAGCTGAACATGGTCTCTTTCTTCTTGCATAAGACCAAGTTAAAGTTGGCTTTTTTCAGTCATTTATTAATCACCTCCTTCTCCTCAGATTAATAAACTTTAATTTTCTAATGCATTTGTTCAAAGCTCCTGGTTATATTTTCCTTCCTGTTTTATAACTTGTTGACTAACTTTCCGGAAAATTGTAATGGTTTGTCTCTGTTCCCACCAGAACTTGTAAGAAATCAGCTTTTTGTGAAGTTTTGAGAAGCTTTTGTTCTTTGTCCCCTTGTGACTCCACAACCCAAATGTTAGAGACATCATAAGGTGATGGAGTTATTGTAGGGAGCGGAGGGTAAGAGGTTCCCTCTCCCAGAATAGTACACTGTGGAACTAATGGACAGTGCCCTGTAGCTGGGCATGGACACACTCATGGGGCTCCCATTAGGAAAAAAGTATTACAGGAATTAGCTTTCAAATACACATAAGTAATTAGAAACGGAGCCATTTTGACAGACTATCACACAATATAAGTAAAATGATTAATGTGTTTCTTGTTTGATTCCTAATGCATCTGGAAATAGATAGCAAAGAGGTTTTATGTACCTATCGGAAAACTTAATCCTGTAATAAAAGGGGGGTTTTTCTAATTTGCACAGATGTAGAGGATCGTTATTTAAATCTTCATATCCTCCATCTGAAAAGCCTTTTTTTTTTTCCCCAAGTGCTCCTTCCCAGGGTACATTATGGCACCTGATGCAATGCATTGGTGACTTCACCGATGCTAGGAGGAGGAAGCACTTTCCTACCTCTGCTTTTGTGTTCCAGTCCAGAGAACAGTTTTTAAATGAAATAATTGAATGCTGCTCTCGCAAGAAGTTGCCTCCCAAATAGATGTAAGGCTTGGGAAGAACAGATTCTTTTCAAGGCTCCTGCTGGTCTATCATAGTAGCGTTCCTGTTGCTGCTAAATAGGGTGCTCTTGTTTTTTTCCAGTGAAAAGATACTGAAAACAAAGTAAATTTTGACAGTGTATCAAGAAATGCAACCAACCAGGCCACGGGTGTATAGAATGTAGGAATTTCTAGTCCTTTTCCAGCCATTGAGTGATATGGAAAATAATAGCAGCTGTATCAAATTAATTACCCTTTTTCTTATCTTCAAAGGTTGTGAGGACTTCAGTTTTTAGGATAGTTCAGACATGACTCATGGAAAGGAACTTCTAAAGTATTTTTTTTATGTTGGTCGTGTTTAATACATAAAGTTTTTAAAAAGTGGCATACTTCTAGTTGATATTTTAATGAAATGTTTTGCATTTGTTAAAACCTGGATTCAATATTAAAGGAAAGAAATACAAAAGCACAGTAATCTGAAATATTTGCTGGCATTTTCTATGCCTTAAAAGTTATTTTACTTGGAAAGAGTGTTAAATATTTAGCTTTTTCTACTTCTGTGTATATTTAGAGGCATGTCTAAAAATACTTGCACCTCAAATTTTAATTCAGTGGAGGTGGAAATATGTGATTTGGGATGTACTTCCTGACTCCGTAAGACTATGTTCTTCCTCCAGGTGTGGAAGAACATCTATCTCATCCTGAGGTCTTTAATTATGTGATCACTTACTCTGCTTTTTTCCCTCCCTGGAATCCTTGCTTTACCTGTTACATAGAGCAAAGTGTATGCATTTAATGAGCAGCTGTTTGGGGTTTTTGTTTTCTTCTCATTAGAAATGTGTCCTAATGCTCGCTATTAAACCAAGCTTTAAAGTCAGAAATCTCAATTTCTTCCTGGGTTTTTGCTTCTATATAATAGGAGAGTGTCTGCAATTTTTTTCTCTTTTTATCACACCTGTGTGAGAAGAAAGATAATATTATCTACACTTTGTGGAAGGAGAAACACAAATCCATCAGGCTTCTATAATGGATTCTGCAGGTAACTCAGGATACTGCGTGCCGCTTTAGGAGTTTATAGTGTAGCTCCCACCATCTCCTCCTAATTTGCATCTGCAAATGTTGAAGACTTTTCCAAATCAGTCCTATATGGACTGGGCATCCAGAAAACATACCATAAAAGCAAGAAGTTGGTTCAGATGTCTTCATGGCATCTCATAGAATTTTTGTGGCAGAGACGGAAATAAAAGCGCCGTTCTGCAGGGCAGCTATTATTTTTTGGTTACGTTAATTATGAGACTGTTTTCTTTCTACAGCTTCAGTCTTGTTTTCTACCTTATATCTATAATGCTTCAGGTCTGCCTTGTGCAGGGGATGAGCTGTGGCCTGTTGGGGGTGATGGGAACAGCATCCTGCAGTCGTGTTGTAACACATCTGCCATGTGAACCGAGCTGTTGGAACAGACCACACAGCCCTCTCCAAACTTTGATGGAGCAACTGCAGTGTTCTCTTTACAGTGTGTTTCTTTGCTCTTAATTGAAATGGTGTTAACTGGGAGGCTCTTAAGAAGAAAAGGGTCTTCTCGCTCTGCCTCTGTCTAATACGTGGTGTTTTTCTGGATAGGTAATTGCTGAGAAGGGGAGAATGCAGCCCTTGGCCAGTAGGTTTCATGGCCTCATTGCTAGCAAAAGTGTTGGGTTGAACTTTAGGGTTTGGAACAAGCTGTTACAGTTTTGTAATATAAGGGGAAGAAGAAAGCAATAAAATAAAAATGTTCACTCAAAGCGAGAAGGAAGAAGACTTTTTTTTTGTAGCTAGAACGTTTAAACTGTTCTCTATGGCTTGAATACAAAAAAATGATACTTAAATCTTGCAGGCATTTTTTCCCCTTCCCTTTTAAGCAAATCTATAATTCCGATTTGATTTCTTACATTTAAAGCAGCAGTGTTTTTATGATAAAACTGATTTTCCACTGGGAAGGACAAGTAAGTAGAGCGTGCCAATCTACTGCCATGGACCTGTCTATGCAGTATATTATAGTATATAATATATTATAATATAATACATTATCTATGGAGTTTGTAAGATCACTGTGGCCAGTGCCACCAAGGCTGGTGTGAGTGGGCAGGGCTGACCAGCTTCATGTTCAAGACAAAGCTTGGGAACCTTGTGGAAGCCTCTGCATCATCTCCATTTCTTCAGAGGTCACCTATAGAAGCGAGGGATGGAATGTAGAGATGTGCTAGAGAGTTACCACTTAGTGGTGAAACTTGGATGGTTTGATGTATAATTGCAATTCAGTCGGTCGTTATGGCAATAGCATGCCTTTGGGTTTGACATTTTCTACTTTCCCTTCTATCCAAATGCAATCTCTGTCACGCTACTTGTTTTTAATTCATAAGAACAGTGACCTTTATTGCAAATTCTATTGCTAAGTATATAATGAGAGATCTATTTGTTGGGGAGCTTTGCTTTTTTGAACGATCATAAAAAGCATAAAAAAAGTGATGTTAGGATGTGGTGAAGCACGTCCTGGTGGTAACTTTGCAGTAAGAGGCTAGAGTTGGCTGGGAACCCCTGCACGCTGTCCCAGCATCATTAATGTGTGCTGTGTCCATTGCACATGGCCTGTTTTCCTGTGTAAAACTCGTTCTTTCAAAAATGGCTTGTTTGCTGTTTCTGTAATTCCTGAGTGATATTCCTCATGACTTCAGCTGTGAGTGCTAGGGGCTGACGTTGCTGAGGAGTTTTGCTTTTTCCTGTGTCACCTGAATCCCTCGTTTCTGTCCCCAGCCTTTGGACATCCCCGACGGTCGGCGGGCGCCGTTGCCTGCTCACTACCGCAGCAGCAGCACCCGCAGCATCGACACCCAGACACCCTCTGTCCAGGAGCGCAGCAGCAGCTGCAGCAGCCACTCACCCTGTGTCTCTCCCTTCTGCCCTCCTGAATCTCAGGATGGGAGTCCTTGCTCCACAGAAGATTTACTCTATGACCGGGATAAAGGTGAGAGTAGAATGGCCCGCCTTTACCTATGGGAGGCATGTGATGTCCTGCTTTTACAACTACCTTCATTTTACTCATTACATCAGTTTTTGTTTCTGTTTGATGGTTGTGGAGGGATTGAGGATTTATTCTTAAGCTTGGTTTTGTTTGTTTACATATCTTTTTCCCTCTTGTTTGTGAAACTTCACAAACATCTTCCATAAATATGTCAGAGGAGCACAGCAAACAGTCTTTAACTATTTCTGAAGATTCTAATGTGAAGAATTCAGACTGTACGATGTTTCTGTTTAAAAAAAGGTTTCAAGAAGGTTTGTGGTAGCCTATACATATACATACTATACAGCCTATGCATTCATCACGGGTGAGTGAGGTACTTGCTGATCACGGTGGTGATGCCGAACTTTTGGACTGCTTTTAAAAGTACTCTGCTTCTGAACTCTTACATCCCACTGGAAGCTATTTGGTGAGGAGCTCAGGCAGGAGTTTGAACAATCTGATGGAGAGTAATGACTTGTCTGTGTATGTTGCGTAACAAGCCCAAATTTCTTTATAATTTACCTGTTTATATGTCAATATCCTGCATTTTTTTCAAAGTCTGTAAAATGTCTTTTGGTTTTCTATAGGGAGTAAACTGGAGTTTCAGTAATTAAGAGTTACTGATAGAAGATGTAGTATGAAAATATAGGCACCAGTGTAAAAAGACTGATTTATTTTATTTTTTTTGGACAACTGTTTACTAATGTAATTATTATTGGGCTTCTGGTCAGCCAGCTGGAAACATGGACTTTGGTTTGGTGGGATGCAGGGTTTGGGTAAAACATGCAAACTAAAAGTAGTAAGTTACGCAGAGGAAATGAAAACTTCAAAGATTTATCATAGATTTACTAATGAGCTCAAGGCAGCAGGATTTTGAGGTTATAAGTAAGGTTAAGCTTTTCCTGTGAATATTCTCTGTGCGATAATTCTTGTAGGAATTTAGGGGTAAGACTGTGGAAGTCAGTGGGAGAAGTGCTAGCTCTTCTTCCTTTCTGATAAGTATTGCTTTCCCACCTTGGGTTTAAAAGGAAGTAGTGGAAAACGAATCCCCCTACCCAAATCCTGAAAAAAGGCTTGGCTCAACGTGACAGTTGGCCATGCTCCAAAAAGACAAAAAAGATATTAGTTCCCTCCGCCCCCTTCACTTTGTTATAGCTTGTGAGTTGTTATGTGTTGTCAAGAGACAACCACGAAAGTGTTAGCACACAAGGAAATGTCATGACAGGTAAATTTGTGCATATATGTCCTGAATAACAAATATAAGTTAAAAAGTGAGGAGAATAGAAAGAATAATTAATTTTGTAGCTAGTACTTGGTTATCACAGTAATGGGAGTTTTCGGCGGTACTTTATTGGCGATAATGAGTGAAGACAGTTTGAGATGGTGCATCCAAACTTCTTAACGCTTTTCAAGGGGGTTTATCTCCCGTCTTGGATTTTTGAACAGCTAATTGGAGTAAAATCTAGTGCTGAACTTCATGATGAGCAGATACTTATTTGTCGCTTTTGGGTTTAAGACTGACTTTAACGCTAGGTTCATATCGAAAGCCTGCGTTAGTAGTAGCCTAGAGGTCATGGTGAGAACCAGCCAGCTTTGTAAAGTTAATACAATTGCATTTTTAAATGAGTTTAAGTAAGGTACTTAGTGCTGTGCTTGTGAAAGATAAAAGCTTGAACTGCTCGTCACAACTTTGGTCTTTAAGGACAAGACAGAAACTAGAAAAAGACATAGTGGTTTTCCAAGAGAAGGTAATTTGTTCAGAGCTTGTAAAAATATAGTCAGAAAGGTGCCTTTTACCCTTTTATCTTCAAAATAGTTAAATTGTAGATAAATGAAGGATATCGATAGAAATTATAAGGGAATAGGAAGTTTTGAGAGACAGTTTATTAACATCTGTTGTGGCTGTTAACTGCATTATAAAATAAAACTCACAATGGTTTTCACGCCTTTGTTTTAGAGGTCTTTGGGATGGTAGAACAACACTGGGATGAGTTTGCTGTGAGGTCTGTTAAGTTTTCAAAAATTGCATATACATGTAACCAGGCATAAACATTTTAAACCCAAGATATTTTTCTGTTACTTTTCTCAAGCTGGGCTTTTATTTTCCCCTCTACGGGAATAACTTGGCTTTACCATTAAAAAAAAAATAATTATTGTCCTTATGAATGCTCCTGCCTGTGCTGGTGAAGAGGGGAGGAGAGGAAGGTTGGGAGTTTGAGTGAGAGACGGAGCAGTGAGAAGCTCCACGCAGACACAGCGCTGCTTTACATTTCTAAAGCATCTTTTATTTCTTGGGCAAAGCTGTGCCTTGGCCTGAGGCCCTCCCAGCTGCTCTTTGGACTCTATCAGCTGTTTGGTTTACATTTCTGCAAGAAGCTGCTAAATCTATTGAATTTTTCAAAAGAAAGCAAAAGCTAGATTTCAGAAAAGGCCCCCAATACTGGGCCGAATGGAGCAGGGACAGTAAATGGCAGTGACTGGAGCAGGGAGGGGAGGGGGGGAGAGAAGGTGTTTTAACTGCACCTGGCTTTATGGTTTTGTTTTCAAATACCAGCCTATTGCAAGGTAAGTTACTGCCTCTCTGCATTCAAACTGCTGGTTTCACTACATCTATTTTATGATACTTTGGTCCATGAGACTATAATGCTCCAAGAGTGTAGTCTTAGAGTCTTATAAGACTATAATTCTGCATACTTAACAGCTGTGACAGAGATAGAGTTCAAAGGCATCCTAAGGTATAAGCAGATGAAATTTGGGTTTTTTTTCATACAAAAGTAGATAGTGTAACCTATTTCTCAGGGATTTTGATTCAGGTGCTTTTGTGTAGTGTTGTGTATTCCCGTTGTTGCTAGCAGACTGTTACAAGCAGCATGTTCATGGAGATGGACTGAAGCTACTTTTTAACTTCTGGGCATCTGATTCATAGTTTTAAAAATGAAAATTGGATGTGAAATGTTTGGATAGTCTGAAGAAACAGAATCACAGAATGATACAGGCTTGGAAGGGACCACTGGAGATCATCTGGTCCAAACCCCTGCCAGAGCAGGTCCACCCAGAGCAGGTCGCACAGGAACATGCAACAGGAATCAGGACATGCACAGGAACCAGAAATAAAAGTATTTTTTAACTGGTCAACCCAAATCCCAAAGCTCACTGGTGAAGTTTGTTGGTGCCTTTAAGTTTCGTCACTCAAAAACTTGTTTCACAAATTCTTTTTAAGTTTGCCTCTAACATACACAAGCTAAAATTTGTGTAGTATTTTTACTGTTCAGTTACAATCTTTAAAATTTTCCAGATAGCAGATTATACCCATTTTGAATATTTATGTTTAGAAATTGTGTGTAGTAAGTCTCCATATTGTCTGCTTTGGTGCTCATGGTAACCAAACTCCCTTTAAAGGTTACATCTGTTAATCTTCAATCATTGTCATCTTAATGAAATTTGATTAGTGGGTCGAAGTGCGCCCGGCAGAGCACGCCGCGCTGGTGGGAGATGCAGATGTGTCCTCTGCTGGGAAGGCTCAGGCTTTGCAGCCACTGAGAAAGTTGGGGAAAAAAAGAGTATAAACAGCTCAGTTTGAGAATACCCATTTGCAGCGTCATTAAGGATTAATAATGAGACAGTTTAGTGCTTAGGAGCTTGCAGGATACGCAAGTGGAGGCTGGTTTTAAGCTGTAAGTTCCACCCTTTCCCCACTGTAACTGGTGGCCTGTTTTCAGGCACAACACTGTGCTGTACCTGTAGCACCAACACCAACCTCCTGCGTGTCACCCTTCCAACTACCACCTGGATTTTGTAAAATAGCAGTGTGGGGTGTGTTTGGTCAAAAGGAAAAACTAACAGCTTAATAAGTTTTAGAAGCAGGGAGGATAAAGAGAGAAGCAGAACAGTTAAATTGTACAATACAATGTTTTTTTACTTATTTAACAACTGTCTTGTATAGAAAGCTTCAGCCAGACAGAGCTAAATAAACCAAAAACTTGATTGAAAACTGAACTGGCCAGACAAGACTCTAAATCTTCCAAGAACTGACTTAACTTTGAATTGAGTTTGATTCTTTCCTTGGATGTACTGACCCGGCTTTCCAGTATTTGGTGGAATGAATAGTAGCACATTTTATGTCTCAAAGAGTTTTTAAATAGAAACTTGGATCTTCAGTTTTAAATATTAGAAGGAGGAAGCAAACTGTCTGGGTTCTGTTAATGATTTCTGTGTTTGGAATGAGCTGTGTGGGCCAACAGTGGAAAGATGCCAACGGGACCATCGTGTGCTCCCTGCTTGGCAAATATCTGTATTGTCTCTAAGCTTTTGCTGCCTTCGTACAGTTAACACCTAAAATTCCCTAAATTAGAAGCTCTGTGTTCGCTCTGAGCTGAATAATCAATACAGGGCTGAGGTTGTCTTCAACTGCTGGGGTTGTTGTTTTTTTTTCTCCCTGATCTTTCACAGTAAATCTCCTTGGAGAAGTGTGACAGTGGAGTTGATTTGTGCCGCCTTGTAAGAGGAAGCAGCGATGTTTCCAAACCTCTAATGAGTAGCCTTTGCATTTGAGTCATGGTTACACAAATGTTTATGTAGTTACTGTTTGGGAGCTGTTAAGGACAACCTTCCATGCTTCAGCGACTCTCCGTCGTAGCGCTGGAAGCCGTGGCTGGTTTTCCCACTGCTGCTGCAAAGGCACACGTGGGCAACAGCAGAATAAAACAAGGTTAGGAATGGTGAGGTACCCCATGTCGGTGGAAAGACTCAAAAGGAGCTAGAGCAAGAGCAGTTATTTCTCTCCAAAGAAGGTGTGTTTGTGATTTGGGGGAACCTCTTCAACCTTGGCATTTCTTGCATTTTTTTTTCATTGTAAGCCCAAGCAGAGAGCAGAGAGCCACTGATTCCAGCCTGGGAGAGGTGTTGCTCTGCGGTAAGGCAGAAGCCACTGCAGAGAGCTAATTTTCTGTAATTAGTTTTGTACC